CCACTCTCAAGACCAAGGGCAAGGAGAGACCCAGAGAGATGGTGCAGACAAGAAGTAGAGGCAGACAAGGAGACTTGGGGTTGGGGGGAACCTCGATACTCACCCAGTGCCCAGAGCCGGAGACGTGCCAAGCGAACACGCACAATGGTCAAGCGCCTCAGACACTTGGGGCGCAGGGTGGCACCCCAGCCCCACTCTCTCCCCATGTTGTCATTTCTCTCTTCCCCCAACCCTGACCCATCCCCACTGGCCAGAACACAGACACATAGGTTTGGACACATTTAATGGAAGGATGCTATGAACAAGGGGGCCGTCCCTAGATGGGGGAGGGGAGCGGCGGAGGAGGGTGTCATTTTTCAGACACCAAATTGCGACCCCTCCTCCCCCACAGCCCTGTCCTTTCCAAAACCCAAGCCCTGAAGTCCTCCCCTCCTCTGCCTTTCCCTCCTCCCAACAGCTCAGTTCCTGAATTCCAGTCAATCCAACAGATGCAAATGCATGCACACACTTCTATGTGCCAGTGCACACACAGTGACATGCACAGAGAAGGACAAATGTATGCAGAGACCCACCTGTCCATGTGTGTGACTAGACACACTGACATTTCTGGCAATGCTTGCCCACAGGTTCAGAGAAGCACAGATGTGCAGGGCCAGCCTCACAATTAGCATAGCCACAAAGGTACCCATATACACAGAACAGGGCAGACCCACCCCCGGCCCAGGGCACTTGTGCAGAGATATACATCTAGTGGCCTCCAGCCACACATGCACACAAATGCATGTCATGCACACCTACAGACAGACGTTCACACATCGAGAAACCTCAGCTCTGGTCGTGCACACGCACACACACGTTCATACACCCCACAGGCACCCCATCCTTCACATACTGACCCCGTTCCCCCCCCCCGCCCCTCCCCTCTCACCTCCCTGGGCCAATCCCATCCATTAAGCTTCCGAAGCAAGTCAGCCAGCAGCCAGGGAGGGGAAAGGTGTCAGTGCACCCCTCTCCTTGCTTTCTTTCCACCCAGCCCTGCCCCTGCCCCTTCCCCGGCCACGCCAGTGCAAGGCATGGGATGCACACACTTTTGCTGCGCATGACTGCACAGATTTGGGGCACATGAAGGCAACAAGGGCCTCCAGCCAGCCACACACAGGCTTCCCAAGCCCCCAGGCATCCCCACCCCACCCTGACCACCTCATTAGTCTCTGGCTACCCCAGAGCTGGGCAGTTGCAGTGGTTGCCAAAGGTGGTTTGGGGTTGGGCTGTGTTGTCTGAAGCTAACTCTGGTCTCTCCCACCCCTGAATCAAATGTTAGAAGGAACAAATGAGAAAGGGGGCTTAAAGGGGGTTGAAATATTTAAAGGTGTGGAGTGTGATGGGAAATTGGGGTGCCCAAGCATGTAAGGACATTTACCTTGGGGCATCAAAGCTGTCGTAGGAGCCCACGGTATAATGCCGGAAGAGCCTCTTTGCCTTGTCACTGCGGCTTTCTGCTGGGGGACAAGGGATAACCTTGGACCCTCATTTTGGAAACCATAAGCCCACCCCCAGGGCTCCAGGCCCAAGACTTCTCATCTACCTCCCAACTCCTATAAAGGGAAAAGAAAAGACATGGACTCCTAAGGTACACTCAGATGGTTGAGGGTCCCTCATTACCTTGCTTTCCCTCCTGAGAGCGGTTTGCCACCTCTTCCAGGCAGTCAGAAGGGAACCAGCCGATGCGACCTTTGACCTGGCCTTCCCAGAAGCCTCCTTCCCCGATGCTAAGTACTGGGTGGGGAACAGGGACATAGAAACATTTCTGCATTTCTGTGCTGCCACCTTGTCACAGGCTTCCTGCACTTCCCAGCAGCTGGCCCCAGGGCATCCTTATCAATGTGTGAGGAGGTGAAGAGATTGAGGAAGAACCAAATCACCTCACTTTTGCATTCTTACTTTCTGGATCAAACGGGAACATCAAGAAGCACTGAGGGAAAGGACTGGTCTGTGACATGGGTTAGGGGCAGGTCCACAGATGGTCCTTTTTTCCCCTCGTAACTGGTCACAGCTCAGTGGTATCATTTCCCTAAACCTTCCTAGGTTCTGCGGACTCAGATCACAATTGAGGGGGAGGAACTCTACCCCACCCTCCCACCACTGCCCCTTTTACCTCCCAAAGTCTCCTTGCAACTTGACCTTTTGTCATGCATCCCTACACCCCTTTCTCTGCCTCCCTGGCTCTAGAAGGGAGGAGAGTTAGGAATTGCCCTTCTTCCCACCACCCTTCCCGGAGGGGACTTCCTCTCAGCCCCACCTTTTGGCCATTTCTCACACACTAACCATAGCCTGTGCTGTGTCTGGTGCTAAGGTATACAGACAGATGAGAAGAACAGTTAATGTTTATCGAGCTCTCATCTGAGCCAGAATGTGAAGAAGGGGGCACTTTTATTACCCCCATTTTACTGAGAGACAGACTGAGGCTTAGAGAGCCAAGGTCATTTGCTCAAGGTTACCAGGATGGATTTGAACATAGTTCAGTTTGTTTCCAGAGCTAATGCTTTTAATCACCAGTGTGTTACTACCTGTCCCTTCAAGGGCTTTCCTGCTGCTCCTGCTGCTGCTAATGGCAACAATGACAAACATACAGCCCTCCATTTCTCCAGCATTTTTCCACGTATTTTTTCTCCTCGCTCAATCCTTATACCCACCTTGGGTAGATAACAACTGCTTTCCCATTTTATAGACAAAGAAGCTGAGGTTAACACATAAAAGCTATCCTGGTGGGTGGGAGGAGGGGACGCTCAAGGTCATGGAAGAAAACTGGAGACAAGGTATCAAAGAGTCTGTTTTCTTACTCTGCCTGCCTGGCTGGATGGTCTTGTCATCATTCATTCATTCAATGAACAAATACTTATTTAGTACTATTATGAATCAGTGTCCAGCATAGACACTATTGAACAGAATCAGTGTGGTTCCTCCCTCTATGGAGCTTCCAAACCAACAGCCAATACCAGCATAATTTCATGAGTAACTGTGTGATTGGAAATCGAGGTCAGCACTCAAGGGAAAAGAAAGGGGTTTATGGGGAGAGGCCAAATGGGAGGATATAAAATAGATGGCAAAGGGGCACAGGAAGGTGCCCCTGAGGATGTGACTGAGAGGCCGAGATCTGAAGGATCCTAAGAGTTGAGGACACAAGGAGAAGTGAGGAAGGGTTTTCCAGGTGGAAGTAACAGTATGTTCAAAGAGTTTGGTGTAAAAAAAGGCGTGGGGTGTCAGAGGAATGGAGAGAAGGATGAGGTCCCGGGAACCTCGAGGAGGGAAGGAAAGGTAGAATGAAATGAGGTGGGTGAGATGGGCAGGGATGTGTTTTGGAGGACAGGTTAAGGTCTGGGCTTTGATTCTGAGAGCAGAGGGAGCCTGCTACCTCATCAGGTCATGGTGAAGCTTAGTGACATTGTGGATGTGGGCATGCCTTTAATGAAAAGTCCCTTCTAATGAGAGAGGGGAATAAAAAACAGAGCAGCATGTCCTCTCCCTTCATGGACATACTGGGCTTGTAGTTCAGAAAGACACAATGAAGGGTACTACCCATGGCCCTCTCCCTGCACAGAGTCCCTCACCCAGTCTCAACTTCCCTTGCTTCTTTCTCATGTATCTCTCACCTCCAAATTCCCAGGCAGCTGGTTCTGAAGAAGCTGCATCTGGCCTCCAAGGTTAGCACCTGCATTTACTTATTCACTCATTCATTCTCTCAGCAAATGTGCATTGAAGCCTCCCATGTGCTGGGTCATTAAACTGGGCCCTAGTGACCTAGAGACCAACGACTTGTGTGACCTTGCCTGTAGGAACTCAGACTATGGGGAGACAGACTACAAAACAGATGGAATTATGCAACCCGCCTGATGCTCTGATCCCTGAAGGCCCCTTCAAGACTCCACTTGAGTTTAACTCCTGTGATAGGACCTGCCCTGCTTATCCACCAATGCTCACTTCTCTTTTGCCAGTTCTCTTTCCTATAAGCGCCTGTAGTAGGGGCTGCTGACGACAATGATGGCTGGCCCTTGTGCAGCGCTTATTATGTGCGAAACAACAAACTGAGTGCTTCACATGACCTGACTCCTTTAATTCTCACAAGGGTCCCATTTTACAGATGAGGAAACTGAGGTCCAGAGAAGTCACTAAGGTCATCTGGCTAGGAAGTGGTGAAGCCAGGATTTGAACTCATGCAACCTGGTTATCAACCTCTGTACTGCTTGGCTCCTGGGCAGCCTGGAGTCTGGCAAAAATTTGCACCTCTGGCTGGTAACAACTACCACATCTGCAGCACGTTGCCCTGCCTCCAAAGTGCCCTTCTATCCAAGAACACATGTCAACAACCCTGCAATGTCCAAAGCCAGCTTCATTTTCCAGAAGGAAAGGAGGAAGACAGGAAAATACAGGGAGAAATGTTCCCCACAACAGCAGCCATTGTTTAGGGAGCCCACACCTTGGGCCAAGTGCTTCACACCTGTCATCTTGTCAGAGCCCTGAAAAGTAAGCACCTGCCTGTCTTTCTGGAGAGAACACCTGTCAGAGGCAGGACGAAGTCAAGGCTATTTGGCCTCATGCTCATACCATGCAGCAGGAAAGACCATGGTCTTGGAATGGGGACTTTGAAGAAGTCCCTTCACTGTGAAGCTCTGTCCTAGAAACTACACAGTGGGGCTCATGACAACCTCCTAAAGGGCCACCAGTAGTCTATGAGAACACACAGTGAAAGGCACCAGCCATAGCCAGCTTGGTGTCAGTGTCTCACCAATGCTCACTTCTCTTTTGCCTCAAAACTGCCCCTTTTTTGAGTCTCGCTCTGTCACCCCAGCTAGAGTGCAGCGGCATGATCACAGCTCACAGCAACCTCAAACTCCTGGGCTCAAGTGATCCTCCTGCTTCAGCCTCCCAACCATCCAGGACTACAGGCACCTGCTGCCACGTCTGGCTAATTTTTTCTATTTTTTGTAGAGATGGAGTCTCACTCTTCCTCAGGCTGGTCTCAAACTCCTGGCATCAAGGGGTCCTCCTGCCTCAGCCTCTCACAGTGCTGGGATGACAGGCATGAGCCATTGCGCTGGCCACTCAACACAGCCTCCTGACTTCATCTCGGCCACACTTTAGGCTCCTACAAAGCAGAAGGGGCCTCTTGGGGGCCCTGGGAGGGCCCTGGGGTGCACCGGGTATTCCAGGTACTGCAGATTTGTTGGCTGCTCCTCTGTCTCCTCCCAACTCCCAGCCTGGGCCTCCACAAACCCTCCCCCCACCCCATACCTTTGATCTTCTCCCCTTTGCTCAGGGAGATCTCCCCCTCAGCTTGAGCCTGGTATGATTTCACAGCCATGAAGGAGCGTCCAGGTACTGCTGAATAGAGCTTCCTCCGCCTTCCTCGGCTGCCCAGGGAGCCCCCGGGGCCCCCAGAGCCTCCTGTGCCCCCAGCTGGCCCTTCCCGGGGCGTCCCACTGGAGCTGCATACACAAAGGGTATGAGAGGCAGGGGAGAGTGGAGAGAGGGGGCACCTCTGGGAGAACAGGGGTCCTTGGGTGGGGTAGGAGGACGGAGCATTAAGGTGGGGTTGAGTGCTTTCCCATCTCTGGCATTCTTAGAGTAAGAGAACATCTTGGGGCCTCAGCTGGCTGCCTGCTGCTGCCCCCAGGTCCCTCTTGCCTTCCAGCTTCTGGCTGCCCCGTCCCATGATCCTGCACACACAGCCTGATTCAGCTTCCTGAAGCTATGCTAGGACTGTGTCATCCCTCTGCTTGTGAACAGTCCATGACTCCCAGCTCCCTCCTGGGTCAGGTCTAACTCCTCTGCCTGCCACTCCCAGCTTCTCCCCTATTTCCTTGGACATGACAGGCTGGCCTCCTTACCGCACAGTGCCCTGTGCCTGTCCTCCCCCTTGTCCCTGCTTACCCCACTGCCTTCTTCCCACTGGGCTTCCTCCATCTCACCCCATCATTCATTCTGTTTGTCCTCAGGAGCTGGAACTCACATTTGTTTTCAGTACCCCTTGCCCAGGCCCCTCCTGGAGCTGACACTCAGCTAAAATTTGGTGCCTGGGGGGTGGAGTCAGGAGAGTGCCTCACCGTGTCCTTACTGCCCCCAGGGAGAGGCGAGGGATGCAGTGGTAGGGGACCTACAAGAGGCAGGCAGCTGTGCTGGCCACGGGGAAAGATGCAGCTCTGAGGAGGGGACCCAGTGAAACTGGGCACTGCAGGGCCAGGGCTGAGTCTTCCCCTACCTGGGCCGTCCGCGGGGCTGCCTCTTGGCCTCCTCTGGGTGCCTTCCTCGGGATGGGGAGCGGGCCCGGGCACCCCGGGGGCTGCTGGCACTTCGGAGGGTCCCACTGCTGAGTTTAGAGGTGGGGGCCGAGGGTTGCGACTGGCCCTGGGACCCTGAGGTAGGGCCAGAGGCCCCAGAGGATGAGGCCCCTGGGGCGGAGAACACCATCCAGTCGGGTAGCGCCATGCTGGTGTCGCTGTTGGCTCGCAGCAGCGCGGGGGGCACCGTCAGCCCTGTACCTGGGGGTCCTCGTCGCCGGGCTGCGTACTTTGGGGACTCCTGGAAGGGCACTGCGAGGGCACAGTGACAGGGGTGGGGGCAGATGGAGAGGGAGACAGGCAGACAGGGGCCATTCAGTCAAGGGATGGTGGGGAGAGGCATGAGGAGGAGAGCTGTGAGAAGTAGCAGGGGCCTGTATTGCTTCCTACCCACTGCCCAAACATTTTTTTCTCCAGAGTTTTCTCATTCCCTTACTGGTCCCCAAGTCAGATTCCCCCATTCCTCAGTCCCACTGTGAACCCCAGTTGCCCCAGGATCCCCGCTTAGCCCTAGCTCCCTCTCACTCACCCACATCCTGTTCTCGGTGGTTTCGGATCAGCTCCCCCAGCTCAAAGTTCCCAGCAATCACTGCCACCTGGAGGGAGGGGGTACAGGCAGGTAAGGTGGCCCAGGCAGCCACCAAGAAAGGGTAGAAAATAAGTGAGGGCCCCCTGGGCAGCCCCCTTGCCCCCAAAGCCTGCTCTCCCTCCTCTCCCAGATCGTGGCCTCCCTCCTAGTACTGGGAACTGTCCCCCTTTGTTCTCTTTGTTACCCCCTCATCAGCTGCAGACCTGGAAGGGAGTCTGTCCATTGTTGTTCTTCACATCCTTGTTGGCCCCTCGATAGAGGAGAATCCTGGCACAAGTTTCCTGAAGGCGATGGCCATGAGTGACACAGGACAAAGAGGGGGGAAAAAAACAGTTAAGGTCACCAGAGGTGATACAGACGCTGAGCTAAGAACGTCAGTAATTAATAATTCGACCTAACCCTGCACTGCTCAGGATAGCAGCCAGGTAAGGGGGCCCACGACTTGTGGCTCACAAGAACTTTACGGCTGGTCCAAACAGAGATGTGCCATGTGTGCGAAATCCACACTGGATTTCAAGGACATAGTGGGGGGGGGGGCAGAAAGAAGTTAAACATTTCTCTTAATTTTTATGTTGATTTCATGTTGAAACGTCAATATTTTAAATACACTGAGTTCAATAAAATGTTACTAAAATGAATGTCCCCTGATTCTTTTTCTTTTCTGTTGATGTGGCCACTAGGACACTTAAGGACATTTAGGACATATGATTTGTGTTATATCTCATTGGATAGGGCTGATCTAAACCAGGTTTCCCACTAGCCGGTTGTTACAGTGGGCACCTATAGTCCCAGATACTTGGCAGGCTAAAGTAAGAGGATCTCTTGAGTCCAGGAGTTTGAGGTTGCTGTAAGCTATGACTCCATAGCACTCTACCCACCAGGGTGACAGAGTAAGACTCTGTCTCGGAAAAACTAAAACTAAATGAAAATAAACAACTAAAGCTGGGCACGGTGGCTCACATCTATAATCCTAGAATTCTGGGAGGCTCAGGTGGTGGATTGCCTGAGTTCAGGAGTTCAAGACCAGCCTGAGCAAGAACAAGAACCGATCTTTACTAAAAGTAGAAAAACTAGCTGGGTGCCATGGCTCACACCTGTAATCCTAGCACTCTAGGAGGCCAAGGCATGTGGATTGCTTGAGGTGCTGGAGCTCATGAGTTCAAGACCAGCCTGAGCAAAAGCGAGACCTCCTGTCTCTACTACAAATAGAAAAACTGAGGCAAGAGGATCACTTCAGCCCTACTTGGAGGTTTCTGTGAGCTATGACACGACAGCACTCTATCCAGGGTGACAGCTTGAGACTCTGTCTCAAATAAATAAATAAATAAATAAGTACATAAGTAAATAAATAAAAGTAGAAAAACTAGCTGGGCATTGTGGCAGGCATCTATAGTCCCAGCTACTGGGGAGCCTGAGGCCAGAGGATGTTCTTAAGCCCAAAAGTTGAGCTATGATGCTACAGCACTCTACCCAGAGTGACGAGAGTGAGACTGTGTCTCAAAAACAAAGAAACAAACAGGTTGGCATGTTGGCTCACACCTGTAATCCTAGCACTCTGGGAGGCCGAAGCAGGTGGATTATGTGAGCTCAGGAGTTCAAGTAAGAGTGGGACCCTACCTCTAAAAAAATAGCCGGGCACTGTGGCAGGCACCTGTAGTCCCAGCTACTTGGGAGGCTGAGACAAGAGGATTGCAAAAGCCCAAGAGTTTGAGGTTGCTGTGAGCTATAACACCAGGGCACTCATCCTCAGGGTAATGGAGTGAGACTCCATCTCAAAAAACAAACAAACAAACAACCCCCTCCAGATTTCCCCAACTTCTACACTATTAACATTCGGGGTCAGAAGATTATTTGTTGGGGGGGGGGTTCTATGGCTGTGGGATCTTGGGCAGCACCCTGACCTCTACTATGGGAAGCCAGTAGTGCTCTTCTCAAACATGTCTCCAGACATGGCCAAACTTCCAGGGATAGAGGGCAGAAGTACCCAGGTTGAGAACCACCAGTCTAAACCTCATGGAAGGCTTACAGTGCGGTGTTGCCTGCCAGGTGCCCAGCACTTTAGAGGCAGAAGCTCACTGAATTGTCCAATAATTCTATAAGATGGAAATTATTGTCTCTATTTTATAGAGGAGAAACTAAGGTTTTCAAAGGCACTCAAGGTTAAGCAGCTGGTGACTGACAGTACTTGGATTTGAACCCAGGTCAGTCTAACTCCAAAGCCTTTGATCTCTTTTTTGAGACAGAGCTTCAAGCTGTCCCCCTGGGTAGAGTGCTATGGCATCAAGGCTCACAGCAACCTCCAACTCCTGGGCTCAAGAGAGTCTCCTGCCTCAGCCTCCCAAGTAGCTGGGACCACAGGCGCCCGCCACAATGCCTGGCTATTTTTTGGTGGCAGCTGTCATTGTTGTTTGGCAGGCCTGGGCTGGATTCAAACCCACCACCTTAGGTGTATGTGGCTGGCGCCTTAGCCACTTGAGCCACAGGCACTGAGCCAAAGCCTTTGATCTCAATCACGAACACACTGCCAGACCCAGAAGGAAGGGGGCACAAGTCATGGGGGTGGGAGTGACAAGACTAGGGCAGCAAGGGCAGGGATGCCATCAGCTAGATGATTCGCATCAGCTCCTTCCAATGTCAGTCCCATGTGACTCCTCATCACTCTTTGGGCTAAATCCAACATCTTTGCCCTGACCAAGAAGAGTTATTAGCTGAGCTAACCTGAGCTGCCAGCCCTGCTCTCCCCCACCCCCACTGCCCTTGCCAACTTCACTTCTACTACCTGCGCTTGCTCCCCATGCTCCAGCCACACTGGCTTTCTTCCTTGGACAGCCATGCTTCTGACCCAGGACATTTGTACCTGCTACACCCTCTGCTTGGAATTTACCCCTAGATGTCTGTGCAGCCTGCTTTCTCACTTCATTCAGGTACTTCATTCAGAGAAGAGGCCTTCTCTGGCCACCTTGTCTAAAATACCCTCCTCAACTTGTTCCTTGCTTTATTTATTTTTTGAGACAGAGTCTCACTATGTTGCCTTCAGTAGAGTGTGGTGGCATCACAGCTCACAGCAACCTCAAACTCTTGGGCTTAAGTAATTATCTTGCCTCAGCCTCCCGAGTAGCTGGGACCACAGGTACCCGCCACAATGCCTGGCTATTTTTGTTGTTGTTGTTGTCATTGTTTAGCAGGCTCTGGCCGGGTTTGAACTCACCAGCCCCAGTGCATGTGGCTGGCACTCTAACCACTGAGCTATAGGCACTAAGCCTGCTTTTTATTTTTATATATGACTCTTGTGTATGTGCCAGGCATTCTAAGGCAATGTTAACTCATTTCTTCATAACATCATCTCCTTGAAACTCCATTTCCTATCAGTTGTCTCTTCAGTGTCTCTTCCTGTCTACATGGTAAGTTACATAGGGGCATCCATCACCTGGAATAGTGCCAGGCCCACAGGAATTGCTCACTAGGGGAATGTCCTCTTCCCTTTGTCTTGGCCTGGGCAAACCCAACCTGTCCTCCAGCTCAGCTCTTTTTCAGTTCCCTCTGATGTTATTCTAGCCAGCATTCCTCACATACCTCCTTGATCTCACCCTTTCACCTGACAAACCCACCAAGGATGCTTCTATAGGCTCATCCTATAAGACAAGCTCAGAGAAGGTAATTCCCATGCCTAAGGCCACACAGCCAGTTCACACAGCAATTAGGATTTGAACATGGCTTTCTGAGCCTATCACTCACCTATCTCCTATGAATGGAGGACTCTGATTGCCAAAGTCATTCACTGGACAGCAGTTAGCCCATGAATGTTCTGGGTGCACATGTGCAAGTGTGTGTGTGTGTACACGTGCATGCCTGTGTAGCCACATGCTAGCTCCTAACTAAATTGTTAACCACTGCCACAAGTACTGTTGCACATTTTTACACATCTAATCCCTACAGGGCCAGAGCACAGACCCTAAAGCTCCCCAGCTCATCCTACTCTTTTTTTTTTTTTTTTGAGACAGAGTCTCACTTGGTTACCCTTGGTAGAGTACCATGGCAGTTTAGCTCACAGCAACCTCAAACTCTTGGGTTCAAGTGATCTTCTTGCCTCAGCCTCCCACGTAGCTGGGACTATAGCTGCCTGCCACAATGCCTGGCTGTTTTTTAGAGACGGGGTCTCATTCTTGCTCAGGCTGGTTTTGAACTCATGAGCTCAGACCATCCCCTCACCTTGTCCTCCCAAGTGCTAGCATGAGCCACTGCATCTGGCAGCTCCTCCTACTCTTGCAAGCCCAGAAGGTGTCCAAGTCTGAGTGTGTGGCTCTCCCAGTGGGGCACAGATAGAACCTTGTATTTACCAGCATCCTAGCACTTATCTCAGTGTTACTGTTATTTGTATACATGGCTGCCTCTTTGTCAGACTGTGAACTACCCCTCACACTCTCCTCAGGGAAGGTACCCTGTCTGATTCATCTCACATCCTCAGTGCCTGGCACCGGGCACGTAGTAGGTACTCAAGAAATGTGCATGGAGAGAATGAAGATGGAAGAAGATGTGAAGTTGAATCAGTAATAATTCATTTGTTCAAGACATTCATTCATTCATTTGCTGAGTCAGTCAGTGTGTTGAAACAAGCAAACAGATCTGTTGAATGGTCTGAGCAGGGCACTGTGCACAATCTTGGTGGAAGTCCAAGATGGCTGACCCATCATTCATTCACTCACTCATTCATTTATTCAACAAAGATGCCTACTATGTGCTGGAGCTTTGGGACAGATCAATTCATCAGACTCAATCTACACCCTTGATAAGTTTGCAGAGTAGACATGGACCCAACTTTCATGACCAAAGGCTAGACAGGCATGCCAGGAGCCAAGGAAGCAGAGAGGTAAAATATTTCAGACCCAGCCCTGGCTTGTGGGAAGCTTAAAGCCTAGGAGGAAGATGAGGGGAGAAATGTAGAAAACAAGCTCACATTTGTTAAGCATCTGTTTGTCAAGCACCATGCCCAAAGCAAGCAAAATCTGAGCCCACTCGATCCTTTTGCACAGTGGGTATTAATTATAGACCTATTTCACAGATGAGGAAGAGGAAGCTCAAAAAAGAGAAATGACTTGCTCATCTGACCTGCTCATTCTTCATAGTGAATTTTCCCTGTTCAAATGAACAGTATGGTGCCTATCTCCTGACTGGACCCTGACTAACATTGGCAATGATAATAACAGCAATTATTATCATGACTGCCTTCTTGGGATGAGCATTTAATATACATGATCACTCAACCCCTTCAATCAGCTGACATTATTATTCCCACTTCAGAGAGGACAGAGCCTAGGAGAGGGGGAGGAACTTGTTTGCCCTGTTCCCCCATCTGCATGAGGTCTGGGGCGTCTTTCCTCTCTGCTGCCCCACAGGCCTCCAGTCTCAGAGTCATAGGATCTGGTTGAGAGTCAGAGAGCAGGAAAGACAGAAGCGGGCCGGGAGGGAAGAGCCGGCACCATGTTGGTTTGGTTTGACAAACACTGAGTCCTCCCTGGGCGCTGAGCGTACTGCTGGCTGCCACAAGGCTGCCGTGGCCACCTGCCAAATCCCTAGCACTGCAAGTTCTTGTGAGGCAGAAGGGACTGGGGCTGTTTTGGAAGATGTCCTGGAGGAAGGGGACTGACAGGCCAGTCTGTCATGCCAGGCCCTGTACTCCTAAGTCCCCATAGCAGCCCTTCAAGGGCAGGAAGCATCCAGAAATGGGGGCCTGGCTTGCTCAGGATCACCTGGAGCTCAGGGTAAAGGTGAGTGAGCAAAGTTGCCAGGGGTCATGAGGCCAAATGCCCCAGCCCTTGCTACCTGGCATCACAGTGCGGCACCAGCTGGTTACCTGGGCCCCTCACCTGCTTTTTACAGTCCACCTGAAGCATCGATGTCCACACAGCCCAAATTGCTACAACTTCCAACTCACCCTCATTCCCTCCAGGGGCTGAACTTTGGCCTTTTCTCTGTTTTCTGTTGGGCTCCGGTGCAGCATCTGCACACAGTGTGGCTGAGTGGAGACACATTGGGGATGAGGGCCTACTGAGCTTCTTTCTCTTTCTCTCATGGGCTGAGCCTCTCTCCCCTCCATTTTTTTTTTTTTTTTTTTTTAACACATGCTATGCCCTCTGCCTGGAGCAGCCTTTCTCTGCCCTTCTACTCGGCCAACTCCAGCCTTCATTGGATCCACCTGTAGGGGCCCAGGCCCAGATGTGGGTGCCCACAGGAACCTAGGTTCTGGTGACTTCACTTTGAGCACTCTAGACTATAAAGGCAAGGTATGCCGTCTGCCCTCTCTATGCCACAAGCTTAACACTTTGTCCCCAGAACCCAGTCCTGGGCCTAACACAGGGCATGCTCTCCTGTACATTTGTTGAATGAATAAGTGAATGGATGGATGAATGGATGAAAGAATGAAAAGAGTGATGGAGCAGAGGGTGCAGAGGCTGGTAGGCTGCAATGCAGAGGAGCATCTGCATTTGGAACTGAGGAGGTAACTAAGGGGTGGGACTTAAGGGGCCCAGGGCAGGCACTACCAGGGCAGACCTTGTTGTAAAGGGCGCAGATATGCAGGGCTGTGTTCCCCGAGGCGTTCTGGGCTCCAGGCTCAGCTCCGTAGAAGAGCAGGTGTTCCAGATGCTGAGAGTGACCCCGCTGGCAGGCCTGGGGTGGGGGATAGGAAGCCAGGGGCTGGATCAGACTTGGCCTGAATCCTCCTAGGACTTTCTCCCTTGGGGCTAAGCATCTGTCTGTGATGTCCTTCACCTCAAGTCCAGAAGCCTCATATCTTTTTGGCTCCCATCCCTACTCAGGGACCCAGGTTCATACATCTGGATGTTTAGTCATTCCAAGGTATAGGACTCCAGGCCATTACTGCCACTCTCAAGGACCAAGGTGTGCAGTTCCCCAGCCCAGGCCACTTAGGTACCTGGTGTCTATACCCCCATCTTTTCCTCTGAGGACTATACTATTCTCTCATACACTCTCTCCCATGAAGACCCAGCACCTGGATCCCAGCTCAGCCCCTTGGATGCCTCAGGGCCTGGGCATCGCCCACCCCAGCCCCTGGAGGCCTGACTTGGGGGCACCTGGTGGATCTCCTGCCAGCCGTTCTCATCAGCTATGCCCAGCTGGGCTCTATTGTACAGAAGCAGCTCACAGCATCGGGGGTCACCCCCCACCATAGCCGTGTGGAACAGAGGAGTCAGGCCCCGGCGGTCCTTGTAGTTGGGGGAGCCCCCAAGATCTAGGAGGGCCTAGGAATGGAGAGAGAACAGGAAGAAAAGGCAGATAATAGACAACACATGAACCAGCTCATTTTGAAGAGTCAGAGATATATTCTGAAGGGCCCAGGTGATCCACACTGGCCAATGACAGTCTCAGTTCTTCCATGATATCTTTGTGTGACTGGCCCTGACTGTCTTGGGGCTGTTCTTATCCCTTGTGAACAATCGGGGGATTGGGTAGATGCCTCCAGAGGACCCTCCTACTCTGACGTCTGATCCAGCCTCTCCCCTGTTACCTCTAGGTGACCTTGGATAAGCCATCAAAGGATGTCAGTAGCCCTAGTACCTGCCTACACCACCTACTCAGGGGACAAATGAGAGAACACTGTTTGAATACAGGAGGGCCACTGGCCAAGTAGTAAGTGTTATTAGGACCATGTACCCAAGGAGAGAGCATGAAGAGGCCTGGAAGATGGCCAGCTTGGGTGAAGGCAAGTGTCTGGCCAGCCTCGTTGGGGCTGGCAGCTGCAGGGGTGGGAAGCAGCTCCACTTGAAGGACAGCTCTCAGTGAGAAAGGCTGGTGGCATCAAGTATTAATATGTAAATGTGTTGGCAGCAGCACCAACCAACAGAATATTAGGCTATGGAAGGGACAGTCAGCAACCATGCCATCCTATGTGGTAGCCACATGTGGGCTACAAACACGTGAGTGTGGCTAGTGAGCCCAAGGAACCAAAACCTTAATTTTACTTCATTTTAGTTAATTTAAATAGCTGCATGTGGCCAATGGCTACTGAATTAGATAATAAAGGTTTGGAAGCTTTGGGGGGAGGGATAAGCAGGATGTGGGTTTTGGGGTGAGTGCACTCTGGTACATAGAGGTAACCCTGGGGCTTAAAGCAGGTCTTGGGGTTCGTATTTGACTGCATCAAGGGCTCCTCAAGGCTGGGTGCAGTGGCTCACACCTATAATCCCAGCACTCTGGGAGGCAGAGGGTGGCAGATTGCTTGAGCTTGGGAGTTGGAGACCAGGCTGAGCAAGAGCGAGACCCCAAAAACTAGCCAGATGTTGTGGTGGGGACCTGTAGTCCCAGCTAGCTACTCAGGAGGGAATAGGGAATCAGTTGAGCCCAAGAGTTTGAGGTTGCTATGAGCTAGGAC